CAAATGGCTGCTATCATGAAATCAACCAGTAACAAATGCTGGCAGGGTTGTGGGGAGAAAGGAACCCTTCTCCACTGTTGCTGGGAGTGCAGACTGGTGCAACCCTATGGAAATCAATATGGAGATGCCTCAACCAGGATTAGAGGTCCCATTTGACCCAGCTATTCCTCTGCTGAGTGGGTATCATCCCAAAGAATTAAAAGAATCATACCACAGCAATATATGCGCACCCATGTTTATAGCATGTTTATACTTGGAAACAGCCCAATAGCTCATCAACTTGAGACTGGACAAAGGTGTGTGTGTGTGTGTGTGTGTGTGTGTGTGTGTGTGTGTGTTAATAAAATGGAGTACTACTCAACCATAAAGAATGAGAAACTAGAGACATTTATAGCTAAATGGATGCACACTGAGGCCATGCTCTTAAATGAAATAAACAGGACCCACGTGTAAATACGTTTTTTTTGATGTGAGAAACTAAAAGTGTAAATAAGGATCCAAATGTATAACTGATAATGTGAAATAGGAAGAAAAGGTCTAAAGGGGTAGGGGAAGCGGGAGGAGTAGGGAAAGGAAAGAAGGGAAAGGAAAAAATATGAGAAAAGGAAAAAATAGAAACAAAGTCTTATGAAATAAACAGGACCCACGTGTAAATACGTTTTTTTTGATGTGAGAAACTAAAAGTGTAAATAAGGATCCAAATGTATAACTGATAATGTGAAATAGGAAGAAAAGGTCTAAAGGGGTAGGGGAAGCGGGAGGAGTAGGGAAAGGAAAGAAGGGAAAGGAAAAAATATGAGAAAAGGAAAAAATAGAAACAAAGTCTTTGTAAGTAGGGAGGGGTGGAGGAGTTGAAGGGAGGCAGGGGAATGGGGAAAAAATAAGAACCAAGATATGTCATGTAAAGGTACAAGTTTCCAGTGATGTATGTAACTATTATATATCTAAAATGTACCAATAAACTTAATGGAAAAAAAATCCAACAAAATACTCCTCTTTTATAAAATGATAATGGCAGGAGCTAGGATTTGAAGCACATGTTTTGATTACTTTCCTTGCCTCCTATTATACTATTTTATTTTTTCCAGGAACCGAGGATTCAACTCAGGACCTTACGCTTGCCAGGGAGGAACTGGCACCATGAAGCTAAATCTCCAGCCCTTTTTTTTTAGTGTTTTTGAGAACTCACAGCAACTTTCCTGCCTTAGCCACCCAAGTGCTGGGATTACAGATATGTACTACCATGCCTGGCTCCTATTATATACTACTTATTTTTGCAGTACTAGGAGTTTAACTGAAGGCTTTCTCACTGAGCTATATCCCCAGCCCCTTTTTTAAATTTTTTGAGACAGGGTTTCACTAAGTCATTAAGTTGCCCAGGCTGGACTCAAATGTTCAATCCCCCTACCTTAGCCTCTGAAGGTGCTGAAATTATAAGTATATGCCACCAAACTCAGCCAATTATTTTTAAATAATTTAAAATTAACCTTAAGTATCAAAGTAATCTTTAAAAAAATTTTTTTTGAGACAGTCTTGCTATGTTGTTCAGTTTGGTCTTGAACTTCTGGGCTCAAGTGGTTCTCCTGCCTTATCCTCTCAACTAGCTAAGATTACAGGCAGGCACCACTGTGCCTGGCCAAAATGAAACAACTACTAAACAATTATTATTTTTTGTTTGTTTTTGTTTTTCTGAGACAAGGTCTCACTATGCAGTTGAGACTGACCTAGAACTATGTAGCCCAGGCTGGTCTCAAACTCACAGCGATCCTCCTGCCTCAGCCTCCCCAATGCTGGGATTACAGGCATGCGCCACCATGCCCAGCTAAACAATTATTTATAAATGTTTTAAATCTTTATTAGCATGTTTGTAGTATATAATGTTTACATTCCTTGTGGGAAGTTGGTACCTGGACAACATACTTTCTCTTTGTATCCTCTTTCCCTCCCCTTCCTCCCACCTCCACCCATCTCCTGATCCCCTCCCCACTTTTTGCACATTTTTGCACAAGTATATGTTGACTTTTAAAAAAAAAGTGATGCTGAGGATCAAACCCAGGGGCCTCACACATGCTAGACAAGTGCTCTACCAGCCTAACCAATCACTAAGTAAACTTTGAAATATCTTCAAATAAAGCTTAACACAAGGCTAACTCTTTATAATATATTATGCAAATAATATATTAAAAATTCAGATCCTCACGTGGAAAGGGCAGGTAACTAATGAAGCAGGCAGGGCGGAGTTGCAATTTTTGACAGCTCTCTCTGATAGGAGAAAGGAAAAGGAAACCTTGGGCCAGTCCTAAAGTGCAGCAGCATTTAAGGGAGCATGTCTCCCCCTGGTGGCAACGATGGTGGCAAAATGAGTTTTAAACCACACAGTACTGGAGAGGACCCAATTTGATAGGACCCTTCAGCAAGAAGGTATTTCAAAGTCTACTCTTCATCACAGGGATCTTAGCCTAACCAAGAATGTGAGAACAAAGTTTAAAAGAACTCCTAGGACTAAGAAACTGTTTAGAAAGATGCTGATTTACAAACCCTGATGAACCAACAAAGAAAAAAAAATCACTTTGGCTGTTTAAAAATATCATTTATTTTCACGAAGAGCTTATTCTACTCACATAGTTATATAATAATCATAAAATTATGCCTATCGGAAAACAGGTCAGCTTCGGCTGGTGCCATTGCCAAACTTAAGTGTTTTTATTTCTGGTTTTATTGAGACGGTCTCACAATGCAGCCCAGGTTGGCCTTGAACTTGCTATGCTCTATGTAACCCAGGCTAGCACTTTTCTGCCTCAGCCTCCACAGGGCTGGAATCCCACCCAAATGTGTTTTTTACATTCAAATTGTTTTGTGGTTGTTTTGAGGCAGGGTCTCACTATGTAGCCCAGGCTGGCCTTGAACTCAGCAACCCTCCCACCTCTGCCTCCCATGCTGGAATCACAGGCATTTGAAACCACGCCTGGCAACAAATTCGAACTGTTGATTCATGGCTGGCTGCTCACCTGCAGGTAAAATCAAGGAAGTCTGACTTATTTGTCCGGTTGGAGACCAAGGTAAGGTTTTCCCGCATGCTTTTGCTTATTCTTTTCTGCCTGTATGCAATTTGACCTCTCACTTCTATTACTGTAGATCCAACTTTTATTTGTCCTTAAAATTTTGTCTGCTGGCCTCTTCTTCCTCGAACAAAAATCAAGCTGCATGTTTTCTTTCCCCTCCCTTGATTTTGTTTGGTTTAGAATCTTCTGGTACTTATCACATGTTATTTCCCATGTCAGATTTTAACCTATTCAAAGGCAAAGACCCGTTCAGTCAACCTCAAAACGAGGCAATATGACTTTGCAACTAAGAGCGCCAGCTTAGTAGCTGTCGTCTTGGGCACAACCTTCAATTCCCTTACAGGGAGTAACAGCACATATGCCACAAATTTGTTGAGGCCTCATAAAGAAAACGTTCGTAAAGCAACCGTTCTTTATTGTTCGGTAATGGTTAACTATTATTTTCATTCCTTCCATCCCCAAATAGCCTTACATGCTGCAGGCATTCAACTGTTATTTGTGGGTAAAGCTTACGCTCTACCAAGTACACTCCCCATACCCAGACATACATTAGCATTAATCTGGGCCTGAAGGACTAACATGACCATGATCTACTGGCACTTTCAAATGCTTTATCAACAATGGACAATTCCTCATCATCTAGATCCGCGCTGTCCAATTTTTCTGCAATGCAAAAAATGTGCTATAGACTTCAGTGTCCAATACAGTGGCCATCAGCCACATGTAGCTATTGAGCACTTAAAATTCCCCCACAGCAACTAAAATGGAATTTTCTCATGTTTAATTTTGGTTAAATAGCTCCTCCTGGTGACTACTATAATTGGATACCACACTCCAGAACGTCTCTATCTGCCCTATACTGAGAATTCAACCCAAGGCTTCCACACGGAGCTACAACGCCAGCCCTTTTTAATTTTTTTAGCCTACGTCTCCCTAAACTGCCTAGACTGGTCATGAATTTGTGACCCTCCTGCCTCAGCCTCCTAGAGTGCTGTGGATAAAGGCCAGTACCACTATGCTCCCTGTCAACAATCCTCAACAATCTTTTAAACTCACCCATGTCCTCTTTCTCTAAAGAGTAACCCTCACTAATCAAACGCATCTTCTGACTTCGACCCCCTTTTTTCTTTAGATGCTACACTCTTGTTCTCCTCGAAACTTCCAGGCCTGGCGCGAGAAAACAGGATCTGTTATCAACCCAACACCTAGTGAGCGCGGCACCAGACAAAGCGAGCCAAACAGCAAGTGGACGTGAAGTCACCCGCGTAAAAGTCACTGCGTCCGGGCCCCGTGCAGCTTGATCTCGCGGGCGGACGCGAACGCAAACAGACCGTGAGACAGGCGTGGCAAACACGAGGGCCCCCCCCGTGCGGACCGTCTCCCACGCCGGGCACAGCCTGTTCCGGTCCCCACCCACAGAGCGTCCCGGAGGTACACACCCGACAGCGGCCTCCCTCAGCCGCCCTAAACCAATCACGCCTCCTGTCGTGCGGGCTGTAAAAAGCCCGCCCAGCCTGGCGCCTCGAAACCCCGCCTCCAGACCGTGCCGGCCACGCCCACTGCTCAAAGTCCCCTACAAAATGGCGGCCGGGCCTCAGGAAATTACCACAGAGAGCCCGCCTTCGGCGGAGAGAGCGTCGTCCTCTGGCGCCGTGCCTGCCGCGCGCGGCTTCGCCTTCCGGCGGAGGCGGAGAAATAGGGGCCTCTCTAGGAGAACAGGGCGCAGTATCCTTGGTGCCTGGTCATCCGAGTCTGGTCACATGGCTGGTGAATGTCGTCGCGGAGGCGGGGGGAGGAGAAATGGGCGGGAGGCCAGGGGGATAACTAGAGACCAAACGAGCACTGGGTTGTCATGGAGCCGTGGGGCCGAACTCGCGCATGCGCCGCATGACCTGCTGGGTTGATCAAAGAGCCGCGACCCTTGCCCTAGGTGAGAAAGGGAGGGCTCGGCTCACTGGGAAGGGAGCAGAGGTGGCGCAACCCGGGAGGGTTTGGGCGAGGGCGCTGGAGAAGCAGGTGGAGTAGAGAACAGAGTAAGGTGGGAGCGAGGTACGCAAGGTGGAACCGGGACTTTCGGGGGACAGAGGCCACATGGTAGGAGCTAGGGGACACATTGCCCTCTGCGTAGTCTGCTTGGTTCTCCGTGAGGGCTGGGCCCGCGTGGGAAAGGGGATCGCGGGCCAGGAGGGATCGCGAGTGGCGAGGGGCTCGTGGGAACCCGCGGGGTGAGTTCTAGGGCAGGTGGGCCCGGTCTTTTGCTGGGGGCCTGGCTGCCTCTGTCTGCCGAGACGGAGCTGGAGGCCTGCGGGGCTGAGAACCGAGGCCGGGCAGGGGGCAGATGCTTGGGCGCGAGAGTGTGCTGCCGGCGTGAGGATCCGGGACCTTCAGTTACCTGCCTTCTGGCCCTGGGCACAGGTGTGGTGTCTTTTCCAAAGACCTGCCACCCCCTACTTTGCTGATCATTTCTCCAAGGTGGCCAGCTTGCCAAGTGTAGTACCGGGGGTAGGGATATGGGAAAAATGGTGGGCAGTGCTAAGCAAGGGAGTTAGGGGTTGGTGGGTAATTCTGATCGGACCCCAGGGCTCAGGCCATAACCAGGCTCTTTGGTATTGCCCAAATTCTGGCTGTGCACATTGCCTGTGCGTTTGCCCCGGAAGGTTGGTGGTAAGCCAGTCACTGCGCAGTCCTAGGGTCTGCCCAGTTCTGCCCTGCTGAGCTGGCAGGCTGGTGGATGCCTGGAGGGAGCACATGCTGTTGGCACAGATGCAGTGTGGGCTGGTGCGAATAGATAGGTGGGCGCAGTTATTGTGAACTCTTTGCAGCCAGGATTTAAGAAAGTTCTCTAGTCCCTTTGAGGAAGATTAGAGAGCCATACATACCTGGTTTCAAACATAGATTATGTGGAAGCAGGATTCAGGATGATCTTCTCCCTCTTCCTCTTCTTTTTTTGGTACCGGGGATCAAACTCAGGACCTTGCTCTTGCGAGGCAGGCCTGGTGCCACTGAGCTAAATTCCCGACCCAGGATTCAGGATCTTTGACAGGAATTTTCAGCCGAGTTTGAAGATGGGAATGAATGTGAAGGGGAAGATGAATGTTAGAGATTTAGGTAGAGTTTTTTCACTATTAAAATATACATATATTCTCCCAGAATTGTATCTCTGAATATGCAGACCAAAAGAAAACGACTTAAAACCCAGTAACATATTTATGAGTCTGTGATAACTTATGGTTTTGTGGTTGGTAGATTCATTTCCTATTGACTTATCAATTTATTTAAACTTGTGCTTGGGCTTTCACCTCTCTGTTCACGCATGTTATACACGTGACACATTTTTAAGGGAGCGTGGGCTCTTGGGAATGTTGCCAAGTATTTATAAAAGGAGAGCTGAAAGCTGCATTTCAGATCCTTTCCTTGTAACACTTGGGTGTCCTTTTGATCAGAAGCTCAAACCTTAACTGACATTTTGGATCACACCAGCCTTCAGTATGGATGGTGGATTTGCCCTTGAGGTTTTTAAGAGGTAGATTAAATGTCTATTTCTAGCATTAGACCAGACCTGGAAACTGGATCTGGAGTTGGCCATGGCGTTTGGAAATACAGAATCTTTACCGTCAAGATGTTCGAGGTATCTTGGCGACAACTAAGCCATGCTATGGCTGTCAGAGACTTGTTGGAATGTATTTTCTTGAATAACTCACATGTTCCTTGTTGGAAGCTGAGGTTGCAAAGATTAAAATGAAAACAAAAATAACCCTTGAGGTTGAGGAGACAAATAATTAGACTCTAAGAAATGCAAAAATAGAAGTGCTGTGAGCACTTGCTAGAAATTTATACCAGTTTATATAGACCGATGTAGTTACTACTTTCCCTTATGAGTTTTATTGTGTACTATCCTCTCTGGGAACTTTTTGGACATTGTATAACATATACAGTCCAGTTAGGACCAATTCTGAAAGTCTGGGAATTTAAATTAGTCCTAATGCAGTGTAAGGAAGTGGGGGGGTCTTCAGAGATATTTGTAGAGCAATGTTGCCAAAAGATGAGAAAGTGGGTGAGAGTTTACACACGTACCTATCTTCAACTCCTTTTCTGCTTATGACGTCTAACTGTATTGTCAAATAGTAAATACCAAGGAAGAAAAAACCTACAACAATTTCTTGATATTTTCGGCCTTTGCTTGTGTGACCCTAGGTTTGAGAAGTGCTGGTGGTAGCTGCCAGCACCTCTTCTGTGGTGCGGTGGCCACTGGGGTCTGTTGTTAATGGCTAACTCCCACTCAAAGGAAAGAGGTGGGGAGGAATGCAACTCTCCAGGCTCCCTCCCACACGAGCCCTCCTGGCTGGGAAGCTACACTTCCTGTTCCGGAGAGAGAACTTTATCCAGGACAGTGACTTTCATATTTTTAATGGCCATATCCAACGTAGTCAGTTTACCATTCTAAAGTTAATTGTGTATTCTTTATTTGCAACTGCTACCAACTCCCAGGGTCTAAAATGTTAGCATCTGCTTTTTTAGCCAATTTGTCACTGTTTGATTATTTTGATTTTTATGGTCAATATTATCCTGCAAATTCTCAATGAGCCATATAAATTCCTTTGTATTTTCTGTAGCTTTTATTGGCCATATTCTATTTATATTTCTTTTTTTTTAAATAAGTTCTCACTACGTGGTGCAGGCTGGCTTTGAACTGATTGTGTAGTCCAGGCTAGCCTCAAACTTGCAGCAGTACTCCTGTCTCAGCCTCCTGAGTGCTCGGATTGCGGGAGTGTGCCACCACGTGCACGGGCCTCATTTTAATAACAATAGGAAGACCATTCTCCTTGTCTTATCCTGGGGATCATAAAAGAATAAATTGTAGGGCCTGGAATTTAGCTCAGCGGTTTGGTGGCCTGTCTTGCAAGGGCAAGGACCTGAGTTCAATCCCTGGTACCAAAAAAAAAAAAAAAGAATAAATTGGAATGCTTTCTGTAAAGTACTGCAAAGTAATCCACGTTTAACGGTGGCCTGTCTTGCAAGGGCAAGGACCTGAGTTCAATCCCTGGTACCAAAAAAAAAAAAAAGAATAAATTGGAATGCTTTCTGTAAAGTACTGCAAAGTAATCCACGTTTAGTAAGAGGATATGAAACTTTGTCAGTTTCTTAAGTAGTTGCAACTGATACGAGCTGCTTTCCTAATCAGGTCAGAGCTGCACTAGTCTGGATGCCCATCGTCAAGCTACATCTACTTCCATTTCGAAGGTTCCTGTTCTCTTCTGAACAGTATTATTTTAAGAAAATTGCACTGTGCACATTTGTTGGGTTTCATACAAAAGGATCCTGATTTAATTAGAGATATAATTTTACATTTTAGTCTGCTTTTTAAATTGGCTCGTCCATGCTTTCAAACATAATTGTCAAATAAAGAAGCATTGCTTTTCATAGCACTCTGCAAAATGTGACAAGTGCCATTGTTTATCTTTTATACAAATAGGATTAAGCTTGTGACCTGTGGAAGAGTGCTTGACTTGACATGAATGAGGAAGCTGGTCCCCTTCAGTGAGTTAGTTTTGGGGCAGAATAATTTTTGCCTGAAATTGTGTTTCGAATTCAATCTCCTTCAGACCCGTTTGTGCTCCCTTTAGTCCACTTCAGCTGTATGCAAAAGTGGGAACAAGAAGGTTGCTCAGGGATGCTTTTCAAAGATGCTCAAAAGCATGCTCATCTTCTGTTACTGTGGATCTTTCCTCTAGTGTTCCTCACTAGGCTCTGTATTAGCAGAGCTGTTTACGCCTGGCCCTTCAGGGTATTCCGGGTGCAGTGCTCTTTGGCCTGGCTTGGTGTTTCTCTTCGCTCAGAAGGGGACGACAGGACGGAGCCATGAATGGATTGTGCACTAAAACTTACCAGGCTTTGCTTCCCTACCCATTTTCATTATTGGTGCTTCCCTGTTGGCTCCCTGTTGCCTTCATCCCTGTAATATCCTTGGTGTTCTTTTTTTCTCATGCAGGGATTGAACTCAGGACCTTGTGCTTGCTAGGCAGGCACAGGGTCACTGAGGTAAATCCCCGGCCCAGTACTCGGTGTTCTTATCGTTCCACCTTTACAGCTGCCATTCCTGGGTGACTCAGATATTTGTTAAAACATCTGGGTGTGGGGAGGAAAAAGAAAAAAAATTGGAATGTTCTCAGCCTCTGCCAGCCATTTTTGGGGCTCATTTGCCTCATTCTGGCCCTGCCAGCGCAGGTCTGGATATGCTGTGGACTAGCTGTAAGTTTCTAAGGCAAACAGAAGCTTCTCCCCTGGGCTCTAGTCCTAATGTATGGCTTCCTACACAGCATCTTAACTTGGATGACCCACAGTCACTTCAGCCTCTAGTAAGCAGACTGAATAGCCTAGCCATACCTGCCACCCTACCCACCTCCTTTCTGTGTTCTTCTTGGGATTAGAAAATGGTACCATCACACACTCACACACGCACGCACGCACGCACCCCAGTGTAATAACCACATCCCATCAGGTCAGCCTCTGCATTTCTGTCCCCTGTTCTAGAGCCACTACTGCAGTTCACCTGGACTGCAGTAGTAGTGTTCAGATGATGTTAGTGCCACTTTTGCTTGCCTTCACCTGAGTCTCGGTGTAGCATCCAAAATGTTTTTTAAGGCAAATTTGGGCTGAGGATGTAGCTCAGTGGTAGAACACTTGCCTAGCAAGTGTGAGGCCCTGATTCTATCCCCAGCACCACCAAAAACAAAACAAAACAAAAAAAAACCCCACACACACAAAGAAAGGAAGAAAAAATCTGATCATGCCCACTCTTATGATTCACATTCTTCTGTAGCTTCCTACTGCTCATAATATCTAGAGTCTGTCCAAACGGACTCCCAGGCCCTGCCTTTCTGTTCCCCCTCTTCGCCTTGTGTCACTCCATAGCAGTCTCTCCCTGCACACTGTGCTCTGACCTTCCTGGCCCTTCTGAGTGTCCCTGGGGGCCTTCATGGTGCCTGGAAAACACCTGCATACACTACCTGTTGCCTTTTACCTGGCTAACCCTGCTGACTCCACATCCTCCAGATACCAGCGCATGTCACTGCCTCGGTCCCCTGGACTCATCCTTGCCCCTTCATAGCACCAATTAGAATAGTAGTTACATGATTCTTTGCTTGCTGTCCATCTTTGACTAGATCATAAGCTCCAGGAAGGAAGTGAACATGTCTGTCCTACTCAGTATCCCAGTCCTAGCACAAGGCCGGCCTGATATATTAATGAGCACCTGATAAACACTTTTAAATGACTGAATATAACTTTCTCAACTTTCTCCTGTGTAAAATGGGATCACAACCAAGGAGGACAGTGTGAGGCCCAAGTAAGATGACATTAGCGACAATAAATGTTACATACCTTCACATGATACAAGCACTTTATTATACACCAAATTATCTGTACGTAAAAGTGTTGTTGTTTTTGTGGTACCAAGGATGTAACCCAGGGCTTCTCCCATACAAAGCAAGCACACTACCACCAAGCCATAATCCCTTCTCAGCCTCTAAAACTATTTTTTAAAACAAAAAGTGACACGCGTATATAAGCAGTGTTTACTTTGTTAAGTACTACATCCAAGGGACTGAGAGGTTTGTGTTAGAGCTGTACACTGTGGGAGGCCGCAGTAGGTCACAAGCCTGCAGATGTGTACCAGGAGAGCAAGTTGTGTCGGTGGCTGTTATCTCTCCTCTCCTCAGGCAGGAGGCCCAGCTGATTTGGATATCCATTCCAAAACGCCTAATCAAATGTGCCTTTGTTAGCAGTTCACAAAGCATCTACTGAATGTGGATTGTGTGCCTTGAATATGTAATGGAATTGGAAGGCAGAAAGAGCATGTGAATCTCCTTTTGGGTGAAAACCATTTTGTTTAATAAACTTGAAGCTCTTGTCAGTTGAGACTTGAAAAAATATAAATGAAGTGGGTGAGGCCATGTTCTTTGTCTTTACTTTATTCATCTTTCAGATCATCTGTTTCAGCTTCCCGGGCAGTGTCTTTTTATGTAACTGTTGTTTCTTGTAGGGCAGCCCAGAGGCAGAGTACTGATGAACCCGCCTCCAGCCCAGTAAAACATGGAGAGGAAAATCCCGTCCAGAGAGAGCCCCAGGAGACTCTCTGCCAAGCAAGGCAGAGGCACAGAGATGAAGAAAGCGGCTCGTCAGCTTGGTGTGGTGGCTGCTGAGTCCGATAAGGACTCTGGATTTTCAGGTTAAAAATATGAATAATTTGCCTGAAAAATTTCCTTCCTAAAACTTATTGTGTGGTAAGGATGGGAAAATTTTCACATGTAAGAAATAAACTCTTTTTAATTTTTTTAAGGTAAGGTCTTGCTGTGTAGTTTAGGCTGATCTTGAACTCATTGTGTAGCCCAGGCTGGCTTTGAACTCTTGGTTATCTTCCTGCCTCAGCCTCCTGAGTGCTGGGACTACAGACATATGCCACCATGCCAGGTCCTGTCTGATCTCTTAAAATAGTGACTGTGATGCCATATAGTAGGTTATCCATCAAACTGACTGGAGTTAGCTCTGAAAGAATGATATGATACCTTTTTTCAGTTTAGACCCTCAACTTGAAATCTTGCATTCTCAATTGTTGTAAGTGGTTACTGGAAAAAAATATTCCACTTGTGTTGTGTTAGCTCCTTTTTCATGGGAATAGTTATATTGCAAGGAAAAAATAGTGTGTTGTCATCATGCAACAAATTTGAAGGCTGCAGTCATGCATCACTTAATGATGATATGATTTGAGAGACGTGTCCTCAGTGACGCCTGTCATTTTGTGAACCCTGCAGAGTGTACTCACAAACCTGAATGATGTAGCCTACTACCTACCTAGGCAATCTGGTAAAGCCACCATCCAACAGGCAGCCCATCATTTCCTGAATCATCAATATGTAGCAAATGACTGTTTAATTTTTTGCTAAGAAAGTAATTATACTGTGCTTTAATTGTTGCCTCCATCCAGCCTCCTTCCTTCATAGTTTCTGTGCTTCTTTAAAATTTGGACTATGAGCCACTTGGCTCAACTCTAAATTAGAGTATCTACTAGAAATAAGAAAGTAGGATAGTTTTCTGTGTTTGTTGTTGTTGTTGTTGTTGTTGTTGTGTTTTTTTGGTTCCAGGGATGGAACTCAGGACTTGTGAAGCAGGCAGTGGCACCACTGAGCTAAATCCCCAGCCCTAGAACAACTTTCTTTATTAGCTTATCTTAAACCTTACCCAAAAGGGCTATGTACATCCTCCTTGAAGCTCCTAATTTTGTGTTGAGTGTTTTTCCCCCTAGATAGAAGACTTGAACTACCCTCGGATGTTGAACTGAGGTCAACATTTTTGGCCCAGGGGATGCAGAGTTGATGCCAGGGATTTGGGCTGAGTCAGCAGCCTAGGATTGGAACCTTTTCTAGGGAAAGTTTTCTACTTTCCAGGTTCACAGAGGCAGATATTAGGAAAACTAGAACTCTCCCATCCTTAGGCTGATATATTTTCACCTTGTAGACATGCTAAATGAGAAGCCAAATTATAGATAGACTTAGACAGAAACAAAGCCGAGGGATTAGAATAACAGGAATTAGTTGACTGCTTAGGGAAAGTGGCACTTACGGTTTCTCTTCTCCATCTCTAGACGTCATTTCCCAAGTTTGCCTCATCGTAAGTCTTCCCACAGCTTCATTCAAGGCACTGACCCTCAGAACCCCTCCTGGGCAATCTGATACCAAGGGACTGAGGGAGGGCCTGGAAGGTGGGGTTTTCAAAATAGGGCAGCCACAGTATCTCTTTCTTCTTTCTTTTTTGGTACCAGGGATCAAACTCAGGACCTTGCGCTTGTGTGGCGGGCTTGGTGCCACTGAGCTAAATCCCCAGCTCTCTTTTTTCTTTTACTATGTTTACTTTTTATTTTTGTTTCTTATAATGAAGGTAACGCATGTGCATTGTAGAAGTTTAGAAACTTAGAAAGAAGAAGGTAAACATTATCCACAGACCTTCCGTCTGTAACTTCCAGTATGGTGGACAGTTGGGCACTTCTCCCAAGGACTTCAGCTTTTTGTCAGGCCAGTATTGCAGTGAATGCCTCCAGCCACTCCTGGGCCTGGTGCCAGTGATTCTGTTTCTGCCCAAGTTGCTCCTCTTATCTTGAAATATGATGAAATCCATACAACCAAAATAGTGTTTTTCATTTTAATTACTTTCCAAATTTACACTTGGAAAATTTCAGTCTATACAAGAATAAATAAATACTCCCATAAGAAAGATATTTTCTTCTAGATCTGGGTGTGGTGGTACACACCTATAATCCCATTACTTTGGGAGGCTGAGTCAGGGGACTGCAAGTTTGATGCCAGACTGGGAAAATTAGCAATTTAGTGAGAACCTTGCTCAAAGTAAAAACAAAAAAGGGCTGGGGATGTGGCTCATTGTAAAAATCTTGGGTTCAATCCCTGCTACCACCAAAAGAAAAAGAAGAAAAAAAAGCACTGGGTGTTTTCATTTTGCCATATGTGCTTTTTTTCTTTGCTCCCACACACGTACTGGCTGAACTATTTGAAAGTAAGTTTCAAATACTTAATATTTTATCTATAATACTTTGGATCTCCCAAAAAGGAGGACATTCTTCTCCATTCCTAAGAAATTTAATACTGATACAGTTATTAGCTGTAGGCTATGTTGAGAATTCTTCCATTGTCCCAGTAATGTCCATTATAGCTGTTTAATCTTTGTGTGTTTGTTTTGGATCAGGATCCAAATGAAGATCATGCATTGCATTTAGCTGTCCTGCTTTTTTGGTCTTGTTTTTAGCTCCCCCATCCATATTCCCTCCCTCCCTTCCTGACAGTGATATCTGTTGTTTGGTAGTGTTTCACACTCTAGATTTTCTGTTAATTTTCCCATTACTGGAATCAGAGTAAATATTTTTCTCCAAAATACTACACTGCTGATGTTGAGCTCTTTCTAGTGCAACACATTAAGTAAACTCATAAATTATTCTTGGTGATTCTCTGTTAATCACTTGGTTAATATGATGTGCGCTAGATTTTATTGTAAAAATACTTTTTCTTGTTGTAGTTAGTAAGTAACTTGTGGGATGACACTTTGAGATTATGTGACTCTTCTGCTTTAACACCAAACTCTTGACCAGTGGTTTAACCATCGATTTGTTATTCTTGCCTGAATTAGTTACTGTATTTGCTGTATTGATCGTTTAAAGTTGCAATCTTCTGTCATTCTTTTTCTATCATTAACTGACACTCTTCTGTTAAAAAAAAAAAAGTGCTTTCCCTCCTTAGTCTTTTTTTGAGTATCACTGTGCATTCATGGAATTCTTTTATAATTTGGTTTGTTAAATCCATTAACATTATATCTGACACTCAAATTGTCCAAAATTTGGACAGTGGAAGTCCCATCTAGGTAGCCCCTATTAGTGTTTGATTACCTCCTTGCTTTCTGGGACCAGCTGTCCAGGCTTACCTTGTACTTCCCAGTCAAAGGGTTGGAACAGCTGTTTCTACAATGACCCCTGGTTTCCTTTATGTGCAGAAGGGAGTTTAGAAACAGAGATCCAGGTACTCAGTCTCCACTGGAATCATTTGTTTCTAGCTGAATAGGTCTTAACTAGTGGGACACATTTGGTTATTTGTGCTTTTGAAAATACACCTACCCAGGCACCTGGTAAATGAGTTCATTTAGGTCAAGGTGAGGACCCCTGCAGCCATAGTTTTTTGAGATATATCACTGCAGATTCTGAATCATAGTTCTATTTGTAAATGACCTTCTGATCACAGTCTTTGCCAAGCCATAGAGAATGTAGTTGTTGATAAGTGCATTCATTTAAATTACATTTACATTCCAGTCCTGCCTCATTCATATTAATTATGCTGAGTTTTTTTTTCTAGTACTGAGAACTGAACCCACAGCCTTCATCCTGAGTTATATCCTATCCTTTTAAAAAATTTTTATTTTTAAATTTTAGAGACAAGTTCTCACCAAGTTACTCAAGCTTGGCTCAAGCTTTTGATCCTTTTGCCCTAGCCTATTAGAGTGTTGGGATAACAGATGTACATCATCATGCCTAGCTAACTCTGAGATTCTTGAAGCACATTTAGGATTATCCTAGACTCCTCAGCAGCAGAGTCCAAAAGTGTTTCGGTTTACAGCAGGTATCTAACTACCTCCTTTTCGTATGGCTTTTACATAGGGACACCTTCATTTTCTTTGCATTGGAGAGCATCCTTCTAGCACCTCTATAGTTCAGGATCCTTAGTAGGCACACCCATGTTCTCAGGACACCAGCAAAAGGGTGCTTATCAGGGTGGAAAGAGACCATAAAGAGAAACATTTAAACTTCAGTTTAAATTTATCCACAGTTTTACACTTTGAAAATCCAGGAAGACTCTGGGAGGTGGAAGGATTGCAAGTTTAAGCCCTGCCTGGGCAGTTTAGTGGCTTAGTATGACCCTGTCTCAAAACTAAAACAAAAAGATAAAAAGGCTGGGGATGTATTTTGGTGTGAGAGGTCCTGAGTTCAATCCCTAGTACTGGGTGTGTGTGTATGGGGGGCCACCAAGAAGCTATTTTAATTTCAGCATAGATGTAATTTTTGAGATTTACAGATTGGTTTTGTTTTTATTATTCTGTCTTTTATTGCTCTGGATCGCTAAAGATCTTAATCCTGTCTGGGGCTTATGCTCCCTTCTCAACAACAGATTTTTAAAAGTACAGTAATCAACTAACTTTGAACTATTCAACTCATTTCTCCAGTAAACTGGTGATGATTACTTTCAGAGGAACCCTGATTGATACAAGTTTTTATCTGTAAGAGAGGAGGAAAGTCAAGTAGAGCAGTGATTCTTTTTTTTTGCAGTGATTCTTAATATTTTGGAGGGAGAAGGATAATTATGGGTCCCCTTTAATATCCAGTGAAAGCTAAAGACCTCAGAAAGATTCACAAAAATATATCACAGGTGTTCCTTTCCATTTTAGAAGGCCCATGGCTCCTTAGGAGCCACATTAAGAGACTGTAGCCAGAGCCTAAGTGAACTGACCATTCTTCTGCCCACCAGATGGGAGCTCAGAATGTCTGAGCTCTGCAGAGCAGATGGAGTCCGAGGACATGCTGAGCGCCTTAGGCTGGAGCAGAGAAGACAGACTGAGGCAGAGCTCCAGAGCTGCAAACAATGCCTTCCCTACTCTTTCCCCCATGGTCGTCATGAAGAATGTGCTGGTCAAGCAGGTGAGGAGGACCAATATGGCCAAGAGTCTGTGCAGATGAAAGTTGCTGAGCTTTCTCCATCTAAACTCTCCCTGTCTGCCAAGGAGAGTTCACAGACAAGACACTAGACCCACACTAATGCATATTTGCTATCCGAGGGACAGGGTATTCCTTTCAAGTGTGTGGGCTGGGGTGTAGCTCAGTGATAGAGTACTTGCCTAGCATGCATGAGATTTGGGTTCCATTTCCAGCACCTCCCCCAAAAGCATAGAGTCGCCATACATGTCCTTTTAAAAATTTTTACTGTAATTTTATTAATAAGACATAAATGGTTAATTGACAGGCATCACCAGCTTGACTGACTTAACTAGCATGTGGAAAAAATATTTCTGCATTATCCAACTGACCAATGATTGTTCGTGTGCTCATTAAAAATGTCATCTTGGACCCCAACTAAACTAAAACAATATCACTTTTCTTCTTGTGCAAGTTTCTTACGGGATTAGAAGCAGAGAGCTGACAAAAAAATATGAGACGGTAACATGAGATAAAAATATCTATGAGACTGTTCATCATTAATGTTTTATCAGTGGGCAGGTCTCTTGTATTGATGTATCAAAAATACATTTCCAACAGTAAAATAAAAAATTCCCTTGTTCACTTCTTAAATTTCTTTGCCTTTAGTTATCCACATCAACATGTCTTCATTTTTTTTTTTTTTTTTTTTTTTTTTTTTTTTCCTGGTACCGGGGATCGAACTCTGGTCCTTATGCTTGTGAGGTAGGCGGCAGAACCACTGAGCTAAATCCCCTGTCTTCATTTTTGAGACAGACCTTTCTTTCCCCCATATTTGTGGTTTGTCCAAAGGGACTCTGAAATGCTTTGGCCATATATGAAGGAATCAAGCTGAAATGTCATTACTTCAGTGGTGCATTCTAATATATAGCAGAGTTGAGGGTAGAAACCAAAAAAATCTCTTTTTCATTTGAATTTCACTGGGAATTTTAGACATGTCAGATGCATTGATTTGGTTCAGAAGTAGAGGCAATTTCCATGTGTCTTATGTCACATTTGGAGTATTTTCGTAGTAATCAGGTCATTAATGACATGGCAGCTCTTGAACTTTACCAAAAGAGTCCACACAGCTTGTTGCAGCATTGAAAAATACTCCATTCTGGGCTTTGTTATATAACTGCATATTGTATGATTATTGTCTAGATATAAAAGATGTACATGAAAATCTAAGCTCCAGCATTTGAGAATTTAATTATATAGACTTGTCAAGCCCTGGAAATGGAAGAGATTGATTTAATCCAAAAACATTTAAACTTATGTTTTTACCCTGCATGTGTCACAGTTTGTCCACTGACGAGGCTACTAAATATAGCAAAATTTGAAATCCTCTTTAATGTTGACCTTTCCATCCTGTGTCAGAGTTTAGAAGGACCTGGCATGACAGGGAACCTTAATGTCTTAACCATAACCTGGTCATTTCTGAGGAGCACAGACTTTCATCAACATAGCCTGGTGATTTTAAAAAAGAATTAGAAGATTTTTGCATGGTAAATCACAGCTGAGCTGGAACCTCTGCTCTCCTTATTGAAGAGAAAATAAAGACAGAAAATGGAGCCCAAGTGAGACTGTCCCAGCCCGTCAGTGCTGCCAGGTGCTTCTGGGCGATCTTTCCCTTAGCTCTTTTCTCGCTGACTCTCACTCTGGCTCCCTTGCCACTCTTTCTTGCATGGCTTTTTGATAAGCCAATTTGTTGCTGGTTGGGCTGGCAGCCCAGGAAATGCTGCAGCCTACACACAGGAATATGTAGGATTTTTCAGTGAGCGGCGTTTTTCAGAGGCCCATTTGCAGGACTGCTGGCTGACGAGGCAGGAGGTTTGGGGATAGGCTGGCCTCATGGAGTATGGAGTAGTCTAGTTTTGTTTTTTAAACATGCTAGAATCCAGCATGTTCTAAAAATTAAAATAATATCCTTTAGAAATCACTTGTATCTTGTGTAATGTCTTGATTACTGCTGCTTGATTTTAGGGATTTTTCTTTCAAGGGTCTCATTCCAATTTTGCATACAATTTGCCACCATAGACTTTTTTTTTTGGTATAGACTTCAGTTTCTTCATCTTGAACATGAAGACTTACTGTGAAATGATTCTGACATCCTATCCAAGTCTAAAATTTTGTTCCATAATTCCTCAGATTATTTCAATCTGAATATTACAATTTGTAAAATCTAGTAATTAGAACAAATTAACAGCAGCACTAAGAAGGGCAAGCCAGTAAAATCATCTTGGGAAAGCAATATATTAGATATTTTAAGGGTAGCTTGGAGTTTTGTTTCTGACTGAATTTGGCTGGGCTGATTTCTACTTCAGAAGACCCCAGATTTTAGATTTTCTCTGATAGAGAGGTGGTTTCCGGGCCTAGTATTGCTTGCTTTTATATATCCCAGATATATTTGAATGTCAGGAGGGCTTCCAAGTGGGCTTTCTGGATCATCCTAGCCTTTGCACAGGAGCAGAATTACAGTGAGTCTAATGTGCCAGCTAAGCTGGCATCCAAGAAGCTGAAGTGTGTGCAGAATGACACACGTGTCACGTGCAGGAAGATAGTCCACGGCACGCTTCCCGTCAGTCAGGTGCTCTGTGGCACACTAAGGAGCAGAACCTGTTAGGCGCACTCTGCCTAGCAGCGTCTGCACTTGGGCCTTTGGGACTGGGTTGAAGCTGGCCTGGCCTTCAGATGTCAAAGACAAAAGACTGAATCAGTACTTCAACTGAAATAAAATGTATAATTGAGGGACAATATAGTAAAGGCAGGGCAGCTTTTAGATGGGATGAGTTTTAGGATCACACAGATGGGATCCTAGCTGCATCACGCAGTAGCTTGGTGACGTGGAGCAAGGTATTTCAACTTTGAAGCCTCAGTTTCTGCTTGTGAAGGGAATTGGTAACACCCAGTGGGGCTGTTGTGGGATTAACTGAGTGACCCATGTAGAACATTGTACACATGCTGGCTTAGGCAGCACCAAAACATGGCAGCTGTTACTCTTGAGAATGGTTTGGTGGTGGTTCAGTGTCACTGCCTTAAAAACAGGGACCCGTAGACTCCCGATAAGATGAACTTTTTGATTAGAAGCTGTTTTTAGTAAGAGATTCCAGGCATAGCTAAGTGAAGATAGTTTGGTGTAAAGTCACATGATAGTCCTGAGATTTGCATGGAAATTGTACCATCTTCCTATTTTTTAAGTCGGCCACGGTGGTGAACACAGGGAGGCTGAGGCAGTAAGATCACATCAAGTTTCAAGCCAGCCTAGGCTACAGTTATAGGCCAACCTGAACTGTGTAGTAAGACCCTGTCTCAAAAAATGAACTATATCAGTACTTCATCTACCTATAGTTTCTTCTTTTTGGGTGATAGAACTTGAATAAAAATAAGATGTATCCTATATATCTTATATAAATAAGTTTTCCCTTTTCCTAAAAAGAAACTGCTATCACACCCACATGGATTGTCAAGCTACGTCTTCCATCGTGTTCCACTACCCTGATGCAGGAAGCGCTGCCCTGGAACCAGCTGTGCCCCTCTGAGTGTGCACCATGGTCCCTGACAGACACGGCCCTCCTCCATCCCAATGAGCAGCTGCTTTCTTCCTCTGTTCGCAGGGCAGCAGCTCCTCGCAGCTCCAGTCGTGGACAGTCCAGCCCTCCTTCGAGGTGATCTCAGCACAGCCACAGCTGTTCGTCCTTCATCCCTCTGCACCATCTCCTGTCAGCCCATGTCACACCACTGAGAAAAAGTCAGACTCCAGAAACTACTTGCCCATTCTGAATTCTTACACCAAAATAGCCCCACACCCAGGCAAAAGGGGCCTTTCCCTCAGCGTAGAAGAAAGAGGAGCAAGCAGACCCCAGAAGAAAGTCTGCCCTGAGAGACCGGGCCCCAGCTTGTCTTCTAGTGAGCCGATAAAGACTGGCACTGTACCATCCAGACCTCGTACTCCAGCCCCACCCAGTGACAAACTAGCTGAGGACTCCACTCTGCAGGGTGTGCCCTCCCTGGTGGCGGGTGGAAGTCCACAGACTCTCCAGCCTGTGTCTAGCAGCCATGTGGCCAAAGCTCCCAGTCTAACCTTTGCTTCCCCTGCCAGTCCTGTCTGTGCTTCCGACAGTACTCTGCACGGCTTAGAGAGCAGCTCTCCCCTCTCCCCGCTGTCGGCCAGTTATAGCTCACCTCTGTGGGCTACAGAGCACCTCTGCCGTAGCCCAGATATCTTTTCTGAGCAGCGACAGAGCAAACACAGGCGCTTTCAGAATACGTTAGTAGTCCTCCATAAGTCCGGCTTGCTGGAGATCACTTTGAAAACCAAGGAGTTGATTCGTCAGAACCAGGCAACTCAGGTGGAACTAGACCAGCTAAAGGAGCAAACACAGCTGTTTATAGAGGCCACCAAGAGCAGGGCTCCTCAGGCATGGGCCAAGCTGCAGGCGTCTCTCACATCTGGATCCAGTCGTCCAGGCAGTGATCCAGAAGCGTTCTCTGACCACCCAGACATATAGCACAGAATCATATTTTCCAGTCATTTGTGATCCCTTTAACTCCATGGCTAGTACCTACTACACCTGTTTCCCAAAGCCTATATAAGAGCTTTTCCTTCTGAACTCAACTTTGAAAGCCACGCACCAATCCCTGGCTGCTGTCTCAACTTGTGATCCATGTGCAAATGATACAGTTCTCTGTTCCTCTGTTTTTGAATCCTTTTTCCTTACTCTGCAGGCACTTAGCTGAATCATGGGGCAGAGCAGGAAAAAAGATAGTGTGCAGCTCTTCTGTTACCTCCCACCATCCCATTTGGGAACTGGATTAAGGGCCCAGTAACATGGATGAGCATACAGAGTGACACTTTTCAAGCCAGGGGGTAGGTGACATGATTCCTTCATCGATTGGCCCTTGTGTTAAGAGGAGGTGTGTTTGTATTGTACAAGGCACCATGCCAGCTTTGGGCACAGGTCATGTCTGGCCATGCAAGCAGTTAAGCACACAGCTTTGTTTTCTTAAACTTGAAAGTCAAGGGAAAGGGTAATACCATTTGACTCATACACTTTGATCACAAGCCAGATTTCACTTAAACAAGTAGGCAAAATGCTTCATATTTTTAAGGTATAGAATGGATTCGTTACCATCTAGAATTGTACGTGATGGGTTGCTATGTTGATTGTAAATGCTAGCATCTCTTGGTTAGCAACTGGAAGATTATGGTAACTCACACTTTCTTCAGACAGTGAAAACTTTTTTTTTTGTCTGAAAAGCTCAAGCGTAGCTTCAGTGGTTCCTGAGGGTATGGTATGAGTTGCCCCTCTGCTGCCATCATAGCTGGGTTTTTTTTTTTTCCTTTGTTTTTATAAAGAAGGGAGAATTGATTATGCTTCTAAACTTTGAATTAAATAAAATCATGCTGAGGTTACAGTAAGGCTACAAAATGTTGCAAACCATTCTTGCTATCCATTTTCTCTTCACATCCTGAGCTTGTCTGTCCCATGATGTAGGAGCAACTGTACAGAGCAGTCCTATGCCTCATGTGTTGGATGTTGGCAGCAGAGCTAAAGGCATGGTGATGTATTTTGATGCTCATCTGGAGATGGAGTATGTGATCAGAGTTTCCAGGTGATACACATTCTTTTCAGCTTCATTGTATCAGTGATTAGAAGTCTTAAGTAAGCTTTCAAATTTTATCACTTTATTTAAAATTTTTATCCTTTCAAAAATCTTTGTTTTTTGTTTTGGTACCGGGGATCAAACTCAGGTCCTTGCCGGAACCACTGAGCTAAATACCTGGCCCAAAAATCTTTGTTCTTTACAAATTACTTTAACAAGTTTTTGTTGTTGTTGTTGCTGTTGTTTTTTTTGTTTGTTTGTTTGTCTGTTTGAGACAAGGTCTCACTAAGTAGTTCAGACCTGACTTGAACTCACCACATAGCCCAGATTGGCCTGAAACTCAGATAGATCTTCCTGCCTCAGCCTTCCAAGTGCTAGGACTACAGTATGTGCCACCAGGCCTGGCTCCTACACAGAAAATGTTCTTGAGTTTTTACTAAGCTCAGAAGTCAATGATTGCTTTACTGATAGTTGTAACTCTTTAACACGATTTAGAAATTTTGAGAGTTCTGATTGCCTGTAATGTGTTTGCAGACACATTCAATTTAGAAATGATTGATTTAGAAATAATAGTGCTCAATTCCTCTAATCAACACAGAATTACTACCTGCTGTTTGCTTTTCTAAAAGAGTTTCCAAAATCAGAGCAAATATGTCTCTATGCAGACAGCTCTTAGAATATTTTCCTCTTGGTCCATTCCCTTCACCTCCCTTGAGTCTGTATGATACTGTGGCCACTCTACTCTGCACCACTCTAGGATGGTGCTTCCTTTTTGGCAGAAATATGTTTGGCAGCAAAGAGACAGGTGCACGTAAGACAGCCTGGGCACCAGTCATGAGTCTTACTGAGTGTCAGAGATCCGAAAACACTTGCTGAGAACCAAATGTATTCCATTCGAATGGAATTCTCAGAAGAGCTGTGAGCCTCTTGGAGTCTTCTTGCTAGATTAGGTTTGCATTTCCCTCCCTGTCACCGTAAAATATGATGAAAGCCACCACTGCTAAGTGGCGGGGAGAGGCAGACCCGCTGGCTTCTCTCTGTACTTGTAACTAAAGCTGGAAGTCCTAGGCTGTTAGCATGGATGTTCTTTCCTTAGTGGATCTGGGAGTAAAGGAACCCAAGTAGAGAAACTAGATCTTAAAGGAGAGACTCCCAAGGCCAGAAGCCAGATCAGCAAATGGAGGAACCTCGGAGTTGACCAGGAAGATCCCTGTTGGTGGTACAAGGCCGTAAGTAGTAATGGCTGTAGCGATGCATGATGTAATAGGGTATGAAGTACTGGGGCAGATCTACTGTTTTATGAAAGTGAGAAGCCAGTCTTAGTGCAAACCAGTCCTTAGAACTTTGGCAGATTTTATTGGCAATATTGAAACACAGAAAAAGCTTCTGATTGAATCATTTATGGGAAGGGAGTTTAATGACATTTGTAATTTATTACAGTCATTTTTTTTAATCGATTATAGAATTGTCTGACTTTTCCTTTCTACTAAGATTCCTTAGCAGACAAGTAACTCTTGTGCATATACTGAAGTGGTTTTCCAGCTATGAATTCTTTAGCTGTAAATTCTTTATGAAACTTTACCAAATGTGAATTCTTCTGAGAAGGTGCGGAGTAACATAGAAATTGACTGTGAAATATCAGAGAAAAATAAAAGTCACTTATTTGAAAACTGTTTGGCTTATTTGCTTCATAACTGCTTTGAAATACCATATAAGATCTAGAGTAAATATTTGATTGATTTTTAAAATAGTTTCAAAAATAGATATTTTTGCCATTTGAGAATATTGGGATTGGATACTGAATATGTGGAAATTCATTGTTCAGACTTTCATAGGGTGGACTTAAAAAGAAATAGCGATCGGTCGTAAGGCAAATGAGTAGTTCATCTTACCGGAGAGCCTGAGATGTGTATGCTGCAGAGGTTGGGAGGAGTCAGAGAATATAGTCCAGAGATTTCATCCTTCTGACCTGACATTTCACAAATAAGACACTTACATGGCAAAACCACTACAGTTGTATACCAGGATGAAGTAAAGCCACATTAAGTGACATTCTTCCCACAGTAGGTCCTTACAAGTCTGTCTCAGAGCCTACCTCTCTGCTTCCTACAGCTCCCGTCAGCAAGGTTCACCTGGAGACTCTCAACAGCTTCCTGCTTCCCAGCCAGTCAGAAACCCCTTCCAGGTGTTTGTTTTGTTTTTGTATAGGGGGTTGAACTCAGGGCCTTGTGCTTGTGAGGCAGGTGAGGTGCCACTGAGCTAAATTCCGGTCCCCTTCTTGGTTTTAAGATGCTGGGAATATAAGACACTTATCCTCAGTAGCAGGCCTATAGCGTTGGCACAGTCTAAGTCTTGCAGCAGTATTTCCTATGCAGTTGTCTAAGTGACTTTCAAATATGTGGCTGTTAAGTATACTGAAATGAAAGATCAGTGGGTAACGGTGGCTGGAGAAGTCCCCTCCTAATATAAAGAGAACCATTCTTCCCTAAGAAGTGGAGTCCAGAGAAGCAAGAGACCGCTGAAAGTAGAGCCTGTGAGGCTTAGAAGAGCCCAGTTACCCCAGTTTGCAGCTCTGGGTGTTTCCTCTGAAAATACCTGCCTGTTTGTGAACAGGTCTGTCTGAGCCGCATCGTCCATGCCATCACCACATATTGTAGCCTGATGCAGAGGGTGATCTGCGTTCACACGTCATATTTATAATTTATTAACTGGTGGCTTTGGCTAAGATAGCCTCTCCAGATATGGTTCCTCTCAGCTAAATAATGAACTATTTATTGGAAAGGTTCTTGCCAGCATTAAACTTTTTTTTTTTTAACATCCACAGCTATGTTACAGGTAAGCCATAAACTGTATTAACCTTAAAAAGAAAAAAACTTGGATTTTAGAAAAGCAGTTCCTATTGCTGAAGTAAGATGACTGTATTAAAATGTTCTTTCTGTAGGAGTTTAAATTTAAGATAAGTGTCTGTAGGAGAAGCATTTGCCAGTCTGCATCGGTTTTGTCCTTTTTTTTGGTACCGGGGATTGAACTCTGGACCTTGTGCTTGTGAGGCAGGCGTAATGCCACTGAGCTAAATCCTCAGCCCAAGTTCTGCCTTAAAATCACTTACTTACAGCTAACATGAATTCACTAATTCCCAACTTAAACTTTTCAAAGAATTTGTATTGGCCCAAAAGGAGACTTAATTTGTGATTGAATCGTATCCTGTCCTTTGCTGGTCAGTCATCTGCAAACAGCCCTTTTCTTTCATCTAAGATAAAGGGCCTGTTTTATCTTTTCTTGAAGAGTGTGTCAGTTAGCTTTCCGTTTCCTGTCAGACTTCTCTCCTGCAGCCAGGGACGCTGTTTCTCCTTTTGCTGTAAGAGACCTCAGGCTAACAGTGAGCACCACCACTTCTGCCCTCCACACAGAAGCAGTGGTGCCTGGTGATGCCTGCTCTGGCCCCAGTGTTTGGGCAGTTACCTTTCACCCACATGGGAAGACACATTAGAGGGGAGAAGGGGCCGCCTGCCTGATGAGGCACAATCAGAATTGCTGAGAAAGGCTACATGGATGGCCAGGCTCTTCCAGTCCTTACCTCTGCTACCTCAGTTTCCCTTTTTAAAGAAGAGGGGAGTCCTTGCTGTGCATTTGACATCCTAAGCTCGGGGTGCAGTACAGAAGGATGATACCTCCAAGAGTTTTGGAATTGCTCTGCAGAGCAAGGCGGTCTCCAGCACAAAAAGCCAGGGAGGGGATCCAGGGAGACCACACAGCCTCTGAGGGCTGTCATTTGCTCAGGGTAATCAGACTGTGTTCTGCCGACATTTCATTCCAACAGGAAGAGCAAATGCCAACCCACAACGGTTTCACTTCGCCTGGCTTTCTGGAAGGGGACATCTGTGGGTTCACGTGTGACTACTTGGGCTTCTCCTCTCAGTCCCTCCTTCATTATTAGAACACGTGGCCTCCCTGTCTTTGTGAAGGATGGGTTATGCAAGACATTAGAGAATTGCTTGAAAGAACAGTCTGCGTGACTCCTGCCTCAAATTATAGCAGCTGGAGGAGATGAGCAAGAAAGGGAGAAAAGCCTGCAGAGTACGAAGTGAACACAGCGAGTGGGTGGAAGCTGTTAGGAAATGAAGGTGAATAAAAACCCAAAGTAGGATCCCGAGGCAGCCCGCGTGACGGCCCCAGTCAGATGAATGACTGGTGTTAAGGCCTGTAGAGTAGCTTGCGAGCCTAGGAATAAAAATAGCTGCCTTTAATTTTCATAAAGACTCACTTTATCTCCGGAACTGCAGTAGCCTTGGAAGGATACTCATTCATTCTGGTAAATGGCCTATGACAGAGGAGAGCTAGGGCCTCCTTCTGCAAGCTTTGTCTGCTGGATGGGCAGGCAGCCGGGAGAGCTTGGTCTGGAGCCCGCCCACCCTTCATTTGGGGGTGACTGAAAAAACCAGAAGAATCAGGTACATGGTAAACCATACTCTGTCTCATCAGGGAGCTGGATCAAAATCACCACCTGCACCCGCCTCTCTTACAAAGAAGAAACTGCCTGGGGAGAGGCAAAGGGAGAGCTTCCCATTACCTTCTTAAGGTCCCCTGGAATGAACTGACAATAGATTGGCCCGGAGAAAGGCATCCAATTTATTAACATGCATGAAGGAAAATCACAGGAGCATGATTGCTGCTAACCCTGTGAGACTCCGATGCGTACATGCCCGCCCTTGTAGGAGAGAGGGAAATGGGGAGATGCTGGCAAGCTCAAGGAGCAATAAAATTTTTAAGAGGAATGAATGGGCCCAGGAGAGAAAAATCAAATGATTTTCTTGGGAAGAATGAATGGGCCCTGGAGACAGTAGCTTGTGACAGTCTGTTAAGGGTGGGACGCTCCTCAGGCTCCCTTCCTGCCATCTGAGTTCAGTTAGTGAAACTTCAGGGAAGAGACTGAGGGCAAGCCCAGGTCTGGACTTTAGACGGATAAGGGAATATCTGAGTAAAACTTCTTCCAGTGTCTGCTGGTCTCCAGGGGCCTTTAATGTAATCAGCAGACCAGGGCGCTATAGTTGGGGGTGAAGTTCTCTGGATCCCTTCATCCCAGAGTCAGAGGAAGAAAAGCTGGGAAAAGGTACAAATAGAAAAGGCATCTC